TGCCAAGATATATTATTATATGTTTGAAAAAAAACAAAATTTACGTTAAACTATGGTTGAAACTAATGACATATTTGAATGAATTTAGGGATGAAATTAGAATATTCAAAAGTTTGGGGACTAATTTAAAAAGAATGTGATAGTTTAGGGATGAAATTAAATTGTTCAAAAGCTTAAGGACTAATTTATAATAAGATTCGTAGTTTGAGATGGAATTAGAATATCCAAAAATTTAAAGATCAATTTGAAATAAGGATTATAGTTCGGGGACAAAATGGTACAATTAAATCTATAAAAAAACATTAAACCTTTTGAAGTTACCGATTAAAATTACAATAAAATAGAATAAATTCATAATAAGATTTATACATGATGAGATTTAGATCGAAATAAATTTAAGACTGGATTTGTACATGATAGTGTATGTTTGAAATTCCAACTTAGTATCTGTAAGTTACTAGGATTCAATTTTACCATCAAATTAAGATCTCATGCTAAAAAAGGGTGGACTACAAATTTGGCCACTTTTATTTTGATTTATCTAACTTTTATTATCTATTTTCCAAAAATTATGTTTTGATCATTTACTTTATTGATTTATTATAATGTGGTAATTGAGCTGTTAATTTGATAATGTGATATGCTAATAAAATGATTGAGGGTCAATAGTCGTTCTCTTTAAAAAAAATTCATTGTCAAATTTTTTATATTTTTTTATTAAAATTTATTTGCGTCAATCTAAAAATTTAAATATTCATCACCTCTAAAATTTTAAAAATGTATCCCCAACATAAAATCTTGTATATGTGTCATTGTTAATAACTTGAATATCTATCCCTGTTCATAACATGAATCTCCTCTATATATAGGAAGAGCTTAAAATGCAACTTGTTAATTTAAGACTAAAAAAATGACATAAATCGGTTACAACCGAAAATTTTATAAAAAACGTAACTTTTTAGGTTGGACATGATAACATTTTAGATTGAAACTGAAAATATTATCTTCTTCATAACGTTTTCTATTGCAACTGAAATAATTATTAATTGCATAAAAACAATTGTAAATATTAAACTTTCACAATGTAATTTTTCAGTTATAATCGAAATATTACAAATTGTAACATTTTTTAAGTTAAACATAACAATATTTAATATTAAAAATCGCCTTAAATTAAACTACTGCACAAAATAACTACTTATATGTATATATAAGTACAATGGCAAATCCAAAAAAAAAATTTAGGGTGGGCACATATATATTAACAACATAATTTTTTTGAAGGGGTGAGCACACATAAAATTTCATGGTAGATACAATCAATAAAATATGTAATTAACCGTAGAAAATTTGAATTTTAAGGTGTACACTATCAATAAAATGGGTAACGAACCAAAGAAAATTCATATTTTATGTTAGGCACGTGCCCACCCTCAACCCTCAATTGATCCACCACTATATAAAGATAGGATAGGATGATTTGCCTTGTTGTAGGAGAAATCTAAGGTGCGATGGGCTAATTTAAGGCTAAAAATAACGACTTTGAGATGTAACAAAAAATGTTACATTATTCATAACATTTTCAGTTGGTATAAAAAAATGTTGTTTTTTTCTTAACATTTTATGTACAACCGAAAATGTTAATGAAAATGTAACATTTTTTTGTTGCGCTCAATCTAAAATATTATAATTTTCATCACATTTTTAATTGCGCTCCAAAATTAATACTTCAGGCTAAAATTAAAAATATTAAATTTTACAACATTTTTAATTATAACTGAAATAATTATAAATTGAATAAAAACGATTATAAATTTTAAACTCATATAATATAAATTTTTAGTTGTAATCTAAAATATTATAAAGTTCTAGTTCACGAGTGGTCATTGGAATTTGGAGTTTTTGGGAGTTGAACAATTAAAAAGGCATTTTTCATGTTTGTATTGAATGGCATTGGAAACGCAAATCCCAATCCCTGCGTTATGGGTTTCATTTGTCAGTCCATCCTCAAACTAAGCCCACTATCACGAACTTAACAACATGGGATGCATTTAATGTTCCATATCTCCTCATTTTCCTTCTTTCTCTTATTCATTTAAGAACCCTCCGTATAGCAGTCATCAACTTACTTTATTGTTTAAAATTTATGGTTATTTTTTAATATATTGATTATTGAGTTTGAGTATTTAATATTAAATATTTAAAAAAAATTAAATAAATATTATCTTTTATTCATTTCAAGCTAGTAAAAAAAACATTCCATGTAGTTAGATGTATGCATAAAAATTGATTTGATCGATTTGGTTTGTTATTTATCGATTTGATTCAAATATTCAAATATTATTTCGTTTTTTTTTATATTTGGATAACTCAAGTCAAATATCTATAAAAAATAGAAAATCATATCGAATACGGATCGTTTAAAATCTAATTTCATATTATCTAAAAATCTGAAGAAAAAAAATAGACTTTCAGAGTTTAGACAATTTGTAGCCCAAATAAGTGAATTACTAACTAACCACTAAGCCATTTAGCCTGATAAAAACTAAGATATTTAATTATTGCATGTGAGTAATTAAGATATATATAGAATATATTAAATGTATACAAGACATTGCATAAAGTCATAAAATATAAAATTCTAAATCTGATTTTTTTTGTTAAATTAAATTTTATATTCATGTCTAGATGTTTAAATATTAGATTTCAAAACTTAAATATTCTATTTTTTTTGGATCAAATACAAATTATAATTTTAGTGATCCGAATTTTTAATTTCTAAAGTTTTGGATCGAATAATATTTTATATATGAAAATGTGTACACCTATGTATACATTAATTTAATAAATTCGTTTATTTATATCATGAGTTTAAATTTTAATTTGTTCAATATAATTGTTGTCATAATATTTAAAAAATATAAATGTAAGTGTATTTAAATATAAAATATTTCCAAATAATTTTTTTGAAAATAAAATAATTTAAAGATTATATAAAAATATTTATATACTTGAATCACTTTAAACATGTCAAAATCTGAGTTATACATTTAAAGTTGTTTTATAGAACTCAACTAGACTGCTTGTCATTTTTTATATTTCATACTAACCAAGCGACTTTGGTGGTTAGAAAATTATTATTATCTTTTAAGATCTCGAGATCGAACATCGTGTATGTATATTTATCTTCAAATGATTAAGAATCTTTAGACCTATACAATTATAAAAGAAGTCACTTAAATATTAACCTAAATGTAACACTCAACGTCTAGTCTAAACATTATAACTAAATATTAATTGTTACTATGGTCAACTAAACAATTAGTATAAAATATATCAGGATGACCGTTAAAGATAGTTGTTTTATAAAATATTCACGATTTCGGTATTTAAAATTATTTTTGACTGTTATACTGATACAAGTATAATAAAATTAATAATTGTCTTTGGTAGTTCAAAATCAACAAGGTTTCGTCGTGATATTCTTAAATATCACATTGTTTATATATTAATTCTTTATAGAATGTTTAAATATAGTCTTCTAAACATGCATTCATTAAGTAATTGAAGACAATGCCTATATATGCGTGTTGCTATATTCGTTTGGTCAACTCGTGTGTGTCTTGCTATCGTCGTTTGGTCAACTCGTGTGTGTCTTCGACATGTATTGCGCGTGTTATTTTTTTTTTGTTGAAAAAATTTGATCAATTATTCTCATTCTTTCATTTCAGTCTTGGATGACATCAATGTAGAGAAAGACCTCTCGATAGACATGCCACGTCGATAAAGATGAACCCTACAAACACACCTTTCAAAAACGCTCACACTTAACACACCCAAATTTATGTCCCCATACGTATTATTACAATAAACAAGATCCGATTAATATAATTTAAAAAGTATTTTTGAGATAGTCTTTTTTTTCTTCGTTAGTGTATGGAAATTATTTCATTTGGCAAATGACAAAATATAACTTAATAAGAATATTAATGATTAATTGAATAATTTTAATTTTTCTATAAAGTATTATTTAATCAGAGACAAGAAGTTTAGTTAGATGGATTAACTTTAAAACGAATATATTTAGTAAGTGAATGTTGTTTTTTATAAGTTTTAAGTTTGAATAGTTATTTTTATTAAGTATATATATATATATCAAATTGATTAAAAAATTATCTGAACTATCTTATAAATATATAAATTATCAAGAAAAAAAGTTGTTTGTCTTTATTTCCTCTTTTACAATCACCTTCGTAAGCTGGCTTTGCACTGCTTCAACTTCTAAACTAACGATGAAATTATTGCGCCGCTCACTCTTTTTTCTTAGTGTTTTTTCCCACTCTTATTTTATTTTCATTTGGCCGACGGTGTTATTGGTATGAGAATTAGTTGTCGAACATCAGTATTTCTTGTTTTCGTTTATTTTCTTATAATATTTTTTTTATTTTTTAATAATTCTATCTTTATGATTTTTTTTTATCTTTATAAAACTTTTTCTCATGGTTAGATTGTTCTTTTCAGTTCATTGATAAAGATAACACTTATTTGTTATCTTGATAATCTTTCCTGTTTTGAACCTCGTATTGGATTGAGATACACAATTGCATTCATAGATAGTTTTCTCACATCGCTCGACTCTGATATGTGATTTTTCGATTCTCTTTTAATAGTTTTTATCCCCTTTTATAATTTGTTTGTCCATGTAGTTAGATCTATTTATATCTATATTTGTTTGAGTATTTTGGTTGATTTTTATAACCTTTATTTTATATGATTCTTGTATGATCTTAAATGACTTTAATTTGTATTAACTATTACCGGTTATAGGAAATATCTTAATTACGTGTTTAGCTTACAATTATTTACTTATGATTATAAACATTTGTTACAATTCTGAACATCTTTATTTTAATAAAACTAGCTGATTTGATTAAAAAAAACTTGTAAACTAACTAATCAACCATTATACATATACGAGAAGATGAAGAAGAAAACAAGTTTCAATGGTTGGAGAGGCAGATTACATCCTGGACAGCGGCGGCGGCGTACATCACACAGCTGAAGAAACTGAAGGCTATCGACACCGCCACATGATCGCAGAACCTATCCAATGACTTGCAAAAATTGGGCAATGCAGTGTGACGGATTCCGGTTTGGTTCAGATTTGTTACAGCCGATGCCGCCGATCCCGTGCTCATCATTGCATATGCCACTATCTGTAAATCATCAATCAACAAAACACATACAGACATGACAATATAACTGTGGGATTTGTCCCTACCTGATCTCCGGCAAAGACAAGCCAAGCATGATTTTTTGACGGAATCACCGGAGATTTCTTCACAAGCAGCCTTGAAATGGCAATCAGTAATTGGAAAAAGGAGTAAACTGCTGCCGCGGCTGTTACTCCGACAAGATATCTGTACCATGCTTTTGTCAGTTACACGGAGAATCAACACTCACGGGTATCTGTTCTGTTCAACTATCAATAGCAAACAAACAAAATTGCTTACTTTACAAGTATATTTAATATTTTGAAACTCTCATTGTTTAATCAAACTCCAAACGGTGAAACAAGACGGCACACGTAACCGAAAGATCAAAAGTTCACACACTGAACAGCTCCATTTTTTCCCCTCTATTTTTCTTTCACTTTCTCAACAAACAAACAAATAAAAAAGAATATTGAGAAGAATGAAGTTGAAAGTAAGATTATAGTTATACTTACTCGAAGGAGTAAGAGAAAGACCATTTGGAGTGGAGCTGGAGCTGGAACCCATAGAAGGAAGCAGCGCTAACTTGATGGGCGGTGACCATGAACGACATGGCTGTCACCGAAGTAACCATGCACAGCAGCCTGATTGTCAGCACCACCATGTCACCTTTCGTCAAGGAACCTCCTGGAGTCTTGCACCCTAACCCGAATTCCGCACCGGATTCACCTTGCTGCCCATTCTCCTCCTCCTTCACCTTGACCTCTGTCAGCTGCCTCGGCGGAGTTGGCGGTGGTGGCGGCAGTGTTTTGTTGTCGTTCATCATTACCTCTCGACGTCCTTGGGTATGCGCTATATGTATTTTGTTGTTCAAGATTCCTCGATGAAGGGAAAGCAATGGAGAGGGGGAGGGGTTTATAAAGGGAAAACATGACGTATATAATAATTTGTGTGTGATAAAAAATAAGGGTAAACTACATATTTAATCAACCGACTTTCATCATACTTTTATTTTGGTCACTATACTTATAAAAATATTAATTGTATCACTAAACTTTAAAATTTCAATCTTTTAGGTCACTCAATCGTTTGAATCTTTAATGTAATCCAAAATATTTTTGATAAATTTAAGCAAAAACCTCTTAAACTTTTCTTTTAAACCTAAGTTTTTGAATTTCCTTTTATTTATTGGTATTGGAGTATTTTCTTCTAAATTCAAACAAATAGAAGGTCAAGATGATGGAGAAAAAGTAATTTGTGATGATTTCATGTTGATCATATGATGAAGATCATTAAAGACATGATAAGGACAAAATTTTAATTTGAGTTTTTCCGATTTCGAGGGATTTCAAGAAAATAAAATGCGAAGAAGAAAAAGGAAAGAAATGGAAAGTTTTGGTACTAGTTACATCGTAAACGATGGTCGACGAATGTCGAATACTAATAAAGGATGCCAACCATAGAGAAGAAAAAGGTTAAAAGGCTAAATATGTCAACGATTTCATTGTCAAGTAATACAATTGAAACGAAAATCAAAGTTCAGTGCTATAATTGAAAAAATTAAACGTTCAATGACATAAAAGATACAACGCCTAAAATTTGATGGTATCTGGTGTAATTTACCCATAATAATAATGGTTACTAGGGGTGTGCATTATCGGATATTATCCGATCCGAATTTTTCAGATATCCGAAAATTTCGGATACCTAACGTAATGATCCGTATCTGATCCGAAAAAATCGGATATCCGAATATCCGGATCCGAATCCAAATTTTTTTTGCAAAAAAATAAAAAAAACATAAATAAAAATATTCATATTTGCTTGTTTTCTAACAATTTGTTTATATAATTACATGCCTCACTACAATTAAAATTTTAAATAACATCAGTCAATGGTGCAGGCAACAGGTTAGAAGCAACATCTGATGCAAAAGTCAGTCTATGAACCTCTCTCAACGCATGCAATGAAAGTAACTATCAACACATCCAAATACCCAGCAGCAAAGAGTTGCAACATAAAGGATACTAGAACTACCTGAAATTAATCAAGAAAAGAATTTTTGCTACCTGGTTCCCATACATTGCACTTGTGTGAAACAAATTGTTGTTGCTCATGACCACAAGTTTTCCACCAAATCCAAAAGTCACTAGTGGATGGGGAGGGCACCCAGCAGAAGACCTTTCCTCAATGGGTGAAGAAGAAAATGAAGTGCCTATTTGAAGTGGCTTTTGAGGATGATTTCCTGATTTCTGAGCATCAATGAAAGCCGGAGTGAATTGCATATGTTGCTCTGGCTGAACAGTTGTCTGATTATTAAGTGGAGTATAACTCTGACCTGGAATAAAACTGTCAAACCTAGATATCTCATTCTCACCACCAGGTAGAAGTCTGAGTTTGCTGTTTATAAGGATCAACCGATCTAGAAGGTTCAAATCCATTTTGTTGATTTGCATGATTATCTACATGATCTGCAGGATTGTAAATGTTTCCTAATTGCTTGGTTTCAGAAGAAAAAACTTGTTTCGCTCTTCCAAACTGAGTAATCTTGGAAACTATTTGAAAATTGTTGATGGCAGTTGCCTGCAGATTCACTCTGATTCATATAAAAGTCTCGACTACCTAAAGCTTGGAATTCATAGCTTTCAATATTTTTATTTTGATATAGTCAATCATTATTCATGATTGTTGACTGCTCTACAGTTGGAGTATAAGACTCCAACATCTTCCATTCTAGGGGAATTGTATCATAGTACCAACCAGGGTACTGGGGATCAAACACCATGTGTGCAGGGTAGTCTGCATTTCGGGCGAGAAGCAAAAAAAGGAAATGGCAGAACAATGTGTCTAATAGCCCAAATAGCTCTGGGCTAATAATATAGCCCAAATTTTTTCGGGTTTTCGGATAATCCGAAATTGGATTTTGATCGATCCGTATCCGATCTGAAAATCCAAAAAAAAAATCGGATATCCGAATTTTCAGATCGGATCAACGGATCGAATCGGTCGGATCAGATTTTTTTACACACCCCTAATGGTTACTACCACGTTTATCTCTTTCCTTTCATATTTATTTACTTTTACTTGTCAAATTTAAAAAAAAAGTTACATTTTAATAACTTATGCTATTGATTTAGTAAATTTAATTATTTACGATATCAATTTTATATTTTAATCACTAAATCTTTAACACATTAATTTAATAATGTGACATGTTAGTGAAAAGGGATCATCCCCTATAAATACCGAAGGAGAATCTGCCACAAGGGAAGATTCGAGATATGACGGGGAGGTCGACAAAAAGCCTGCAAAAAAGAATCCGATTAGGGAAGAAAGAAAACAAGGGAATAGGGGGTTTATCATTTGATCGGAGACACTCACCGACGATTTAGTCCTAATTTCATATTTATTGCTTTCTAGTGTTTCCCTTTAATTTTTAAATGTTTTTATGTTGATCCTTATTTTACACTTTATTTTATATATATTAATTTTTAAAATATATTTTACCATATATTATATTTATAAGCAATTTTAATTTACCGTTAATAAGAGAAACTTATTTATCTACTCTTAGGATAATTAGTTAAATTAAAATATGAATTCATAATTTTCTATTGGTAAGATAACAACATAATCGACTAGATACTGAAAGAGAGTTTGGGGTGTTAATCATTTTCCACTTTACTCTTGAATATGTTTTTTTGGTAAGTAGATTGCAATATGTACTTTCTCGAGATTTGAAACATCTTTATGAATGTTCGAGTGATCCAATTCAATATTGCTAAACTTTGAATTCTCATTTGAGCCATGTTCAGAGCCCGTTTTCTTCTTCTTCTTCAGGAACGCACGAATTTGGCTTGAAGACCGATTCAACTTCATACACCAAGATGTTAAAAGTATTGCCATCGACCTTCAATTCAATTACATCGTCAATTCTCATTTAAGTATTTGTGATAGTTTGAATTTTAGGTAGTGTTTGTTTTTACTGTGTAAGGTCTATAAAGCTCTTATATTTGCGCCGCGCAGACCACGCGCAGACATTGGGCTTCGCAGACCGTTTGTTTTTTAGAAGACATAAGCTGTTCTAACGTCTGCGCGAGGTCTTCTTGGTGCAGATATAGTTTTATGTCTTCAAACGTCTTCAAAGAAATTAAAATTATTTAAATCTATTTTAAAATATGAATTGATTTATTTTAAATTATAGATTGATTTATTTTAAAATATGGATTGATTTATTTTAAAATATGAATTGATTAATTTTAAAATATGGAAAATTTTATTTTAAAATATGGATTGATTTATTTTAAAATATGGATTGATTTATTTTAAAATATGGATTGATTTATTTTAAAATATAGATTGATTTATTTTAAAATATGGATAGATTTATTTTAAAATATGGATTGATTTATTTTAAAATATGGATTGATTTATTTTAAAATATGAAAAATTTTATTTTAAAATATAGATTGATTAATTTTAAAATATGAATTGATTATTTTAAAATATGGATTGATTTATTTTGAAAAATTTATTATTGTAGTTTTATGAATTATTTAAATTTCAGTATTGCAAAACTCTTTTAAGTTTAAAAAATCAGTTTATTTATATTTCAGTTTATTTTAGCAGTTTGCAGACGTTAAAAAACAAACAGTCTTCTTCTTGCAGACTGCAGACTTTTGATCCACCTCTTCTGCTGCAGATGCCTGCAGATGTGGTCCGCAGACTGCAGACTTTTTACCTATGCAAAAACAAGCACCACCTTAGTCCTATCAAAAGACGAAGGCTTTTGAGAGCATTCTCATCTATTGCTATTATCTTGCCCCACCTGACTGCTATGTTTTTTAAAGTGTCACAATTCCATGAATGAATTGGAATCCCTTTGCCAACTAACCATACACGACAGCTCTCCACCGCTTCGTTTTCCGATCAAGTTTCAATTCTGCAGACCCACTCTTTGAGAGTTTCTATTTGATCGATCTTTATTCTTTTCATTGAATCAAAGTTTTCAAACATCAATAAGACAACATTTTCGGTAACTCTCATTATGAAAAACCCAGCGAGGCCTTTTTCATGCAATTGGCTTGAAAGGTTTCTGATTGTACTAAACTTCTTGCACCAACCCACCGGACAGTTTTTGCTTCATCAATAACCCTTTTTATTGTTGGTAGCCTCTTCGTTATTCTTTCGGTGAACCCATTCTCCAATATGATTTACGAGGATTGTATTTTATCATAGAGACATCAATAATGATATATTATTGTACAAAAAGTTAAAATTTTAGATTTAATAAATTTAAAATGAGACGGATACAAAGATATAAAGTTATTAATAAAACAAAAAAAATAAAATTTTAAGGTAAAACAAGATTTTCACCTAAAGAGTAGTTCTTCCGAGAAACCAACGACAACAACTTATATCCAAGCAAAACTCAATATTAAGTATATAGAATACATGTTGTAGACAGACATGATAAACAAACAAAAACTGGTAATATTGCTACATAATTACTAATTTATCTCCAAGATTATATTCGGACTTGAGATGCTCTGCACACTTTCTAGCTGCGAACGCCGTGTGGGTGTCATTGTTTTCAAATGGCCCTCCTTTCCTGCATGAAGGATCACCACATGCTATTAAAAAAAGGGAAAATACTTGCCTCCAAAGTGAACCGATGCAAAGAAGGGCAGGCCTTCATCCACGAAGACAAGAAAAGAAGGCTATTCCGACCAGTTGCAAAAACAATCGATTCCATCTGCTTCAGCTGACTCATGTGAGGGAATTCAATCTGCCTTGTCACCTCTCCCGGAATTCTCAAATCCCGTGTTGGAATTTGTAAATTAACAACCAAATGCAACAAATTTAAAAGCCAACACAATGAAAATCTCAATTCTTCCAACTGATCTTCACATCATCTATGGCAAGTGAAAGCTTGTGGAGCTGTGGGAAGAATGTTAAAACCCGAGGCAACTTAAGAATAGGTGGGGGATAAGCGTAGTCCTTGATGCATAATGCTGTGAGATTTGGAACATTCTCAAAGGGAATCTCTATTTCTGGTCCAAAATATTTAAAGCTTAGCAGGTTAGTGGCATGGAGTTGTAGACTCTTCAAACTTGAACAGCCTGATATCTCCAAGCTTCTCAAGTGAAGTGATGGACCAACAACTCTCACATGAACCAGAGTTGGTGGTTGCACACATAAGCATTCAAGAAACGGGCTATTGGATACAAAATTTTCAATAACATCATCACTTACATCTATGCATTTCAGTACAAGGGATGTAAGGAGAATATAACTCGGTAAACCAAGACTCCGTGGACATAGTCTGTAAAAGGAACTCTTGGAGGATATAAAGCTACAAAATGTCCGAAATCCAATTCTATTCTTTTAGCTTTCTTTTCAAAAACAAACTTCACCCATTTATCAATGTCTTGCTTATGTCTTCTATTAAGATCAAAGCAAATTCTGAACTCTTCAGTAACAGGTAGAGAATACAATTCCACAAAATGATTCACCATATTTACGAACCTGACCTTCTCCGAATCTATAAAATCTCTGAGACTCTTAGAACTCAAAGTTCGATTAGAACCCAAAGTTTGGTTTTTAATTTTAAGAATCGTGTTTGAAGCATCAAACTCCAAACGTGGAAGGAAAGTCCATACATTTCCCCATCGTCGAGAAAGTAAGCTTGTTGTTGCTGCAACTCTCATCGGCAAGTGAGACAGAATGGAAATCAGAACGTCATCCGATAGATGACTTATCCTATCTTCAGGATCAAATTCTCTCTTGAATGACATTACACAAGAAAGGGGCAACAGAAAAAACATTAGATGTTATTAGAAGAAAATGGAAAAAACAAAAAGAGACATTGACGCAATCAAATTGTAGTGAAAATAAACAGTGTTTCAAATTCAAACAACACGAACTAAAGATTAAAACTCTCTCTACTCCGTCGAAATATAATAATAAGATAATAGCAACTTTTGAATTTGGCAAAATCGTTACAGAGCAGTGTAATAAAGATCAAAAAATAGAACTATGATATGCTAATTGGAAGGGTCTCTGTATTTATAACTCGAATGTAATCATGAGAGATCATATACAATAACCCATTAAATGGTTCTTTTTGTTACCAAATTTCGCTTTCCAAGGACTCGCAGAAGACAATAATTTAAGGTTTTAGGCGCCTTCATGCATATAAACATAGGGAGAGTTGTTACACTTTTAATAAAACTAATATACATATATATTAAATTACAGTTTAAATTAATATTTTTTTTATAAATACATTATATATAAATTTAATTATACTTTTAAAAATAAAATATTATTTATAAAATAAATATATAACAAAACTAAAATATTTTTATAATATAATATATTGGTGTTTGGGATCTATACGATTTCTTCACACATTTCTTCTTTTATTCTTCTCGGTCTCTACGCTCCAAAAATATGTCTCAGGAAAAGCTTCAAGTAGTTCTTATTAGTGCCAAGGGTTTTTAGAACACCGATTTTCTCGCGGATTTCTCTTTCTTTTCCCACCTTAATCCCAAATCTTTTTTTTTGATGAACAATATTCAATTTTTATTGAAGAAATATAATCATATAAGATTATTTTATGCCTCGTTTAAAAAAACCCTTCAATTAGAAGGGGAGAATTGTATTGCATTGTCTTAAAGTGGATAATTAAAATATGTATCTTATCTTGCTTAAGTTGAAATCTCTACTAACAAAGCTAAAATTTTTCTTTTACCTTTAGTAAAGGAGAAGGAAGAGAAAGAATAGGAGAAGACAAATATAATAAAGATGGGTGAAAAAGCTATAAGCTTTCCCAACATAAATCCCACAATGACCTCACCCTCAATAGGTTAATTACCTATTTGGCTCTTTAACTTTTTGTCTCTTTTTAATCTCTCCCCTTTTTCTAAGTCCAAATAGGTCTAATTATGTCCCAATGAAATTCAGTAAGCCTCGAGGGTTTAATTATACTCTTAAGTTAGTTCAAAGTTATCCCAAGTCAACTCTCATTCGTTGATTCAAAATTTTCAATTATTACATTAGTGGTGAGAAACAATCCGGGTATCAGTGAATAAATAGCTTGATGCTTAATGGGATCAGACGATCATGCTTAAGAGTGTATGGTGAGATAATACTTGATGCTTAGTGAGACCGAGTACCACTCCTATTATTGATACTCGATTGCTTATATAACACTAGGTATCATTATATCATAACACTTGATTGTTTAGTGAAATCATGTGAATTATTGTAATTGAATATTTGACATTATCGATTGTAGTTTGATGCTAGATAGAACCAAAAAATTCACCATTATCGATGCAATTTCATGACTAAGTCCTAAGAGTAAAGGTAATTATGAGACTATTATCGTCGAACAATTTCTATTTAATTAATCATAAGCATGATATACGTTGAAATAATGAAACATATATGTATTCATTGCTCGTTGTTTACACTTCTAACATGTTTATGTTTATGAATTCTATGATATATATTAAATTAGATTGAACTTGTAAAGCTCAACGCTCGAATGATCTCGTATTTAGGTTAGTAGACTAGAATACTTCGTGGAGCATTGTCATTGCAAGATTTTCAATATCTATTTCAAAGTATAATATCCGAGTATTTTAGTGAGCATATATACGTCCATGTCTCTTATATGTGAAAGATAGCTGCCTTTTGATTGCTCAACATTTTTCGAAAGTGAATTATATTTAAAAATAATTAATATTAGATATTTTATATTGGGTCACATGTAATTCTAGCCCAAGTTAATTGTGAAAAATGGTTGACTTTCGATTACACAACATTTTCAGTCCAAAATTATTTGGGCTTTGATTAGTTATCATATTTCTTTATCCATTAATTAATTTAGATTACTTTAATTTATATAGTTAATAGTTACGTTTACATAAATATATTATGTATATTAAATATTTTTAAATTTTATTATACTATTCTTAACTTTTATTCCTTAATATATAATTTATTCAAAATTTAAATATATTATATATCAATTTTTAAAAAAAAATAACTAAAATTCTGAAAATTTATACTAAAATAATTAGTATCGAAACATACCTTATATTAATAAAAAAAATACGTGTATCAGTATGATATTGACCGCTTTACAAGCAACAATTTACTTAGACTATTCGATTGAACATTATAATGTTCATATCATATTATCCATGTGGCAACGTTAAAAGGAAAATTTATTTTTTTAAGGATTTAGATTTGAATAATTGTCTTTATACGTTATCAATAAATTACTTTTTTGAATATATGTTATCTTATAATTATCTCGAACTATTTATAAAAAACCCGACAATGTTAATTTTGCATAATCGAAGATTAATAATCTTATTTAATATCATTATTAATTAGATTTAAAATTTAAAATTAAGTAGATGAATAATTTTTCACATTTTTTTAATTAAAATTAAAATTTAAAGGTATGGTATTTATATGGAAGGTGATGAAATTTGCAGACTTTCAAAATAAATAAATAAATGAAGAAGTGGGGTTTATTTTAATTTATTATCAGTTGATGGTATGGGTGGGTTATCATCACATGTAAGTCTCAAAGTGGTTGAAACTTATAGGCTGCCTACCAATATGCCCTCCACTAATCTCTTCAACTTAAACAATTCTTCCCTCATGTTTTATTTTACCCTAAATAGGGGAAATGCATTTTTGTTTTATTTAAAGGGATTAGGGTAGGAGTAGGAATGGATCGAGGGCGATCGGATTCGGTCGTTTTTTAATATTATAAAATTTTATAAAATTTCAGTATTTTTTTCATTTTTATATTAATAATATGTTTATGTACCCTGAATTTTTATAAATTTATTCTCTCAAGTATAAAATCATTTATCCGTCTCTAAAGGAAATAAAATAAAATGTTTCGGTTATAAATGAGTTTGTTCAACAAATGACACTTTTATGATCTACTTATGCCTTCTATCTGATGACTTCAAAATATTATTTTATAGTTTGAAGAAGGTCAAAGTGAGTCGCCTAAATTCATTGATAATAAACTCAGCTTCTTCAATCGAAGGTTTGGTGAACATTCTGTCCGATTTTTATTCCTTTTTCCATTGATTGGTGGTCGGAACATTTAGGAATTATATTAAAGGGTAAACAACACAAATGATCCCCCAATTATAGGATACTATTTTGTTGAGTCCCCCAACTATTAAAATTTATGAAATGGTCCCTTGAATAGAGTGTACCTTTGTTGGACCCCGACTATTAAAAGTTATAAAATGATCACCCGACTATTCATATGTTTCAAACTCATTCTTTTCTGTTAAAAATTGATGGCAGTCTTAACTGGACGTTAACATGTTGATTGTGATATAATAAAATATGATCCCAAAATCTTAAATAACTATCATATCTCAGTCAACAAATTAACAATGACTCAGACCGTCATCAATTTTTAATAATAAAAAAATGAGGTTAGAACATATGAATAGTCAGATGATTATTTTATAACTTTTAATAGTCGAATGACTCAATAAAACAACACTCGGTGGACCATTTGCATACTTTATCCTAAATTAAAATACTAATAATAGTAATGGAGACGAACGAATCATCACAATGGTGCTTTCCACGTTGCTGCAAAACAAGACACTTAAACCCCATGCATTTCCACTCATTTTCAACTTTCAAAACCTGGATTTTGCTTAGTAATTTTCTTTAATATGATATAATATTTTATTAAATGTGAAATTACTATTGAAAAATTAACACCAATGGATTTTTTTTTTTCAGATTTCATAGAAAGGATATGACATTTTAGAAATTGTTACGAAATAATATTATAATCTTTTAATCAAATTTATTTCATTCAAAATGTTAAAATATAAATATTTAATTTTATATAAAAAATCAACATCTCACTAAACTAATAGGTCGTTGATATCTCTTTTACATTATGCATTTTTAAAATGATTAATATTTATGTAATATATAGAACTAAATCATGTTTGATGATTTAAACAGGTGGTTTTGTTGAATGAAAATAACATGCATTTGTCACCACCAACTACATTACCCATTTTCTTTACATTCTTAATAAAATATAGTTTTCACAAAAAAATATTTTGGTGAATAATGTTAGAAAATATTAATTGTTTTATTTTAAAATTCTTTATTTAAAAATATAAAATATTTTTATTTTATAATCTGTTTTTGGTTGAGTTGGACTACAGGTTTAAAGAAAGAAAGAAGTTTTAATCAAGAATTTTATTGAATCACATAAATTATGTGGGTGATTGGGAAAATAATTTAAAAATAAACGACAGAGAGCGGTTGTTTTTAATTAGTTACTAAAAATTAATTTAAAAATAAATGATTTTAAATTATTATTCTATAAAATGTTAACTGAACTAATACCACTATAATAGTAGTTAAAAATTTCGGTATTTAGTTTTTTCTTATCGCCTTCTTCACATTATTTTCTATCATTAAATGTTTTAATTCAATTCATTCACTGTTATATCGATTTAATTAATAATATAAAATTTTAGTATTGTTTTCTTGAAGTAATAAAAATGTTATTTTACACAATCAAATAACTTTATTAGTTAAGAGATTTATTATTCTTCTTAGGTTTAAGCACCGACAACAAGTGGTGGATCTAAATTTTTTTTTGAGGGTAGACATATATGTACTAATAACATAAATTTTTTAAATGATATATGTACAAATAAAATTATAGATTGACACAACTAATAAAATAGGTAATTAACCTAAAAAATTT